CCGAGCGACAGTATGTATTCTTCTTTCAAGATTCGTCGATTGTTAGAGGGTTGCCTTTTTCCGATACTCGATGACCAAGTGGTGCACGTCTCAAATTCTTGTCGATTTTCCCCATTTATTTTAATTCCTTCCTTCACTAGGCAGAGGGGGTTTCATTCGTTTGATAAAACTCTAACAAACAAGAAGAATCTTTTAATCGTATTAATTTTAGGATTCTTCGTTAGAGATTTAGTCTTTGAGTCGAGAGTTTGAGGACTTTGACACGAATCAGATTCCTAATTTCGATAACCTCGTAATTCTTTAAGCCTCTATTAATGGAATTCCGTTTGCTCGCGAAGGAGATTTTAATTGATCATAGCTTCCCACTGCGTATGAAAGATGGAGAAATTCTTTTATTTGTTAACCCTCGGAATGATGTCGTCAATGATCGTCATTTCATATCGCCCACGAAAAATGGAAGTTCATCGCGAAAGTTCACATTGTCGAAACTCGAAGATTCTTCGGTCTCGAGGGATTGGATGATCCTTAAAGGCACGTGCACATCGTGAACCTGTTTACGAGAGTTAGATCACGTGTGGCAGTAGACCGAATCCACTTCATGGCATTGAAACTATTCCCTAGAACGGAGATGGCGGCATTGCAGCACCGGAAGCGATAGCAGCACGGGAAGTAGCGAGGCGAGCGTGTGGACGACGGGCGTCGCGCAGAAACTCGCCAAGGTCAATGCAAAAAGCGCATCGGACATGTGGCCTGCATCGAGGAGATTCGTGCGGGGAAAAAATTTGGAAGAAGGAGCGCTTCTGGTTGGCGCCAGACCGAGCAATAACAGCGAGAGCAGCGATACCACGGACACCACGGCCACCACAACTACCACGACGATGCCCAGCAAGCTGGTCACGATGGTAAGTGTGCGAATTCGATGCCACGACCGGCTTGAAAAATCTTTATGCATTGCAACGATCTGCATTCAGACGATTCTCAACCTTGAAAATCGTACGTACGCCGTGTATGTCGACGGGCTACAGGCGAACCGGTTTATCGTCAGTCTAACAATGTGACAAAGAGACACTGCGATAAAAGGGACCGTGATGTTTCGAGTGGCTTCTGAACTGAGAAATTTACGAAATAAATTCTTCCATTTTTATCGCGATCTTCGAGTGCCTTTGACACTCGAGAGCAAGGAATCGGTACGTTCTTTATCTTACGTATTAGCGAAATTCCTGGTACTGTTTACATATTTCGTAACTGTTTTTTGAAACCTGCGGGATGACGTGAAAAAAAGTATTGAATAATTTATGAGCACGGTAGCCATTGAAATGAACAGGAAATATGTTATCGATATAAAGCTGCGAATTAATATGGAATAAGGTAAATACCAGTCTTTACTTCGTTCGCTTTCTAATTACAAGCGTTTCTATGTCCTATTAAAATCTATAATAAATTTAACCAACGAATATTCCGAACAATCTTCGATTTATCCCAATTTCGAATTATTGCATCGACCCTTTGAACAAACTTTCAACGAAACGAGACGTCTATAAGTTCCATTAGATATCCGATGCTATTACGTCGTACAAGCCAACTATGCAAAGTCACATACCTAGATTAAAACGATAAGTGTTAAAAGTTGCAAGAATCCGGTTAAACACGTGTAATTTGTGTGTCAGGAAATTGGTAAATCGTGATAAGAAAACGCAATTTCACGCGAGGTGATTAGAGAGGATAAGTCGCTTATTGCGTAATGTTCACGGTAATAACTAATGTTGTGCAGGAAAACGGAGGCTGTCAGGAGAAAGAGAACGAAAAGGTAAACGGCAGCAAGAAGAACGGAGATCGAAGTGAGAGCGACAACAGCTGGAGCAGCGTGGACGAGATCGAGTCGAAGGAAATGGCGGACAAGAGCATAGAAGAGGATAATTTCGAGAAGATCGAGGAGGAAGCAGAAGCAGAAAAGTGCAAGCAATTAAGGCGGAAATCGAAAACGATTCGCAAACCGGACGTTCCTCAGGATTGCAAGGAGGCCGCGCAACGAAGGCCTCTTCTCACCTAAGTTCGATCAATCGACGGACGGACGAACACCTTTCTCGTCGTTCTGATTTATCATCCTTTCTTTGGTCCCATAATTTATCGACACAATTTTTTAACGTGTCCAAAAGACCCCACCGAGGTGACTTGGCGAAGTAGCTCACGTATAATAATTTCTTGCCAAGCCTGGTGCCCCTGAAGTTCACGGGGAGCCGCCAATTATTTTTTTAAGGATCCAACCGAGTTTCATTCACCCGATCGATCGTCCAACCAGAGGCCAGACGTGTCCCGTATGCTCGATAACACCCGCAATGTATCGACATATCCTGAAATTATATTTTTATACTTCCACTGACAAGCCACAAGGGCAGTACGCTGAAGAGGAAACCGAGGTCTCCTTGCGGCCATCGCGGTCGCGCCAGAGAAAAGCTGATTTAATACTCTATGGTGAACCTCGATGAAAAACTTGTTCCCCCGTAGAAAGTCCGAGGGAGGGAAAGTTGATCATCCTTGTACGAGTGTCGCGTGTACGTTGGAAGAAAGTTCGCGTGGTGAAAAAGCTCGTTGTAATAATTTTCTTCGATCGCATCGCGGCCGATACTCGAAAGTTTCGAGACGGATCTCTCGCTGATCGTCCCACCATAGGAAATTCGCGAGAAAGTTGAGGCAACAAACGACCGCGACACCCGAGAGAGTTCTCGCCTGTAATAGAAAACTCGACGAATCGATGAGAAATGCGAGGAACGAGTTAACTTGGGATACGCGAATCGTCGTTTCCAACGATCGTCATCCAGTCGATTTTGCAAGATGGCGGGCAATAATTTGTCTCGTAGCTTTTGCTGATGTTCCTATTTAATGAACCCGCGAGTAGACGGAAATTTGAGGCAGAGGATATCGAACATCGATAAGTGTTGCTTTATGCGATCTAACCGTGGATATCTTCGCTTCGTTTCTTCAGGGATATCGATATGTATTCTTTTCTTAAATGTAAATATTTCTGATAGCCGAAGAACGAGAATATAGAGTTATAAATATTAGTATGGTAATGTTAATAACTTAGAGAGGCTAATGGATATGTAAATGGATAAAGAAAATTAGATGATTCTTTTTATGTCTAACTTTAAAAAGATTCTCCCTGAGAAACGCAAAGAATTTTAGGTTTTCGAGAGAACGTTTGAGGAAGTTCTTTGACTCGAGGATTCCAGCGCTATAATTTACAAGTGGTCTAAGTACGATTATATAGAGTTGTCTACTTAGACTCGACGCGATGCGATTTTAAAACTTTTTCATTTTTACTACACCGGTGTTCAATCTGTACCAGTCTATGACGGTTAAGTGCATTTTTAACCAATCCAAAGTAACGTTTCGAATTTCTATGTTTTACAAGCAATCGAGGGTGTTACGAATCTTAGCACTAGGCTGACGAAGACATTTTGAGAAACGATGTTACTCGAAAGATGATAAGTTACAATTAAAACAGTCGTTCATGGATGGGAACTAGACAATTAGCGAAGGGGAATCGTCGAAAAAATTTAATCACTGATGCGTGGATCAATTAACGTAGATGATCACTGATACGAGTCTATTGATGGTAAACGATGGCTACGTTAATAGGATCGCATGGACGAGTATATACGTGTTAATAAAGAGTGACGAAACGAACACTTTTTACTAGCAAAGTTTGTACAATCGTGGCCAACCACTGTGCTTTGCACCGACACGGTGGATTATTCGCAATTAGGTGTAGCAACAGTCACCTAAAAGTTAAACGATATTAATGTTGGTGGTTATTGGAATTGATGTTTCGAATTTTGTAGACGATGGACGAATCCGCGTGCATGTGTGAGTGAGAAAGCGTGAACACTATCAAGTTCAAATGTTCTAATTTTTAAGAATCGTTGAAATGGAAATGAAATTATTTATTGTTTTCTAAAACGTAGACAAAGTGTTACGAAAAAATTTAGAAAAAGAATGTTGTTCGATTAGCGATTAATTTGCGACATATCCACGACAAGTTTGTTTCAGGATCGGTATCCTGTTTTAGCGTTTCCAATCGGGATATATTTTTTCCTAATTATTTCCAGAGAAAGCTACGACGATGTTGCAAACTAGGCATTTGATTCTGCGAATCATCGTTGCAATAGATTTTTCTCAATTTGAGGAATCATCGCGTTGCAGATTTACGTAACAACCTACGCTGTGTACGCTCCGACTATTGCTTTTAAATTCGTCAATTAGAACGTAACGGAAAAGATCTCATCGTTTGTTGATCTCGTTGATAGAACACAAGTATTTTATCATTCCGGCGTGAAGAACTTTGTCGGGTCCGCGTGTTGGTATTAATGTTAATGGTATTAAGATATCGCGATCTAAATGATGTTTGAGTGTACGTCGTTAGTGCAAATAAAATCGAAAAATGTTCTGGAAACTTGCACGTTTAATTACATCTCCTTCGGATTCGTATCGTTCCATCGACATCTGCGATAAGCAAATTTGGTCACTTGCAAAATGGGAATAAAATAGATGCCGAGGCGATGAGACTGTCGAATGAAAATACACGAGACTACGATCAATCGGTTTTCCATAAAAATAATCATCGGTGGCAATTATTTTCTTCTTCTCCGTCTTATCTTCTGTCAACCTTCGATTTTTCTCTCTTACTTTATCTTCAGTTGCTTGTTAACGGAAAGAAAAATATCGATACTATTAGCAAATACCTGAACAGCGACGGTGCATTGTGGAGAATGTTTAAGTTGGTCGTCTAATAAGGCACTCAACGATAACATTAAACTCGACATTTTCCGAGTCATTATTGCACCAACGTGGAGAAACCCGAGTCGAGCAAGTTGTAATAGATTTCAGCGAAGCTTCGTCGGAGGATCGTTTCCGTTTCACGCCGGCGGCCCCTGAGACTAACTCTCGAAACTCATTTATCCCTGCAAACAGCTCGCAAAATTAATTTCGCATGGCAGATTTACTAGCGAGAAGCGGTAGAAAATGATCGTTTCTGTTCCGAGACACGTACTTCTTTGCGTCTAGTTCTCTCCTGTGTGAAAAATCTTCGAATTTTCGTGCAACACTGCATATACGCCCCATAGGAGGATTTCGTTTCGTTCCACGTTCCAACTTGCACGAGACTGAATCAAAAGGGGCATGCTTTCGCATCGCGGGAATCATTGAACACGCTGAAAAAGCAACGCAGCTTGCAAAAAGCGGCACACGTGTGGTAGTGCGAAACAAGGCCTCCTTTTAGTATCCACAGTCGTTCAAACCGTAATCCTGTCCCCTATCGTCTGGAATTCAAATAAGGGGAATTAAATTCGTTCGCGCAAGCAAGAAACAACAATCCCTCTCCACCTCGATCGGGCCTCGCAAAGGCGTTTCGAGATGTTTTCGTCGAGAGTTGAATCGGCGGCCGACCGGCAATCCGGCCGTAGCACTGCGTGATAAACCGTGTAGCGGAGCGACGCGCGTTCCATGTTCCGTGTGACAAGATCCATCTCGGTCGATCGTCGATCTACTTTCATGGATAAACTGTGAAATTTCTCTACCATCATCGTATCCAATCGACGTACAGGTGAATAATCGCGCAGCATCGGAAGAAGGCAAATAATGGCACGACTAACGTTCCCGAAAAGAAAGGACGGTGTTTAAAGGTATTACAAATGGATTTCTTTTACGTAACAAAAGGTGATTTTCATTCTGAATCAGAGTCGCTGATCAGTTATTGTTATTACGTTCGACAATAGGTATAATGGGGCAGAATGTAGGAAGAACGGGGAATGCGCATTAAAGATTTGATTGGGTTCGTGATGGCGCGTAATCGTTATGGGAATCTTCATTCGAAAAATACGTATCGCTACCAAGTGATAATTGCTTCAATTTGGGATCACGCAATCGTGCGAAACAATTTTCGCGTTATTGCCATGTTAAATGTACGAGGTACGTGTGTCTATCGTAAACGCGTGTCGAACGGTCTAGCTGTAGCCGGGTATCTGCTTCATAAATACGAAACACCGTACATAACGTTTCACACGTGATCAAAGTTTTCACGAAGTACTTTTCATTTATTACTCTTTCAATTCTTAGACTGTCACGAAGTGGCTCAAATGAGTGGTATTGGATGACGATCAGGAAACGCGGTGACTTCGAAACACTGAATTTGGGAAGACGTAACTATCGAGAAGATGACGAGGAGAAACAGCTTGGCTGAAATAGAGGAGTCGCGGAAGAAATTAAGGTAAGATGATGGATGTACCGTATTACCGAATATTAAATAATAATTTCTACGAACGAAAAATTTTACTTTGTATGAAATGATAACGTAAAAATTAGTCATATCGTGGTAAGTGTCTTCAGCAAGCGTAGCAACTTTTATCTAACATTGAAAATCGTGAGTAATATCGTTGAACGTTTTATCAATGAACATGACCAAGCAATAAAAGACAGAACACGAAGTAAAAGAAATGAAACAGTTGCTCGTACGAATCCTGAGATTTCGTTATTTTGTACGTACATGTTTTGCTGAATCACATAGTACAATGCTTAGCGGTTCCTATAATAGCTATAAATTGTCGCAATTGCATGCCACTTCCCGATAGTTCACCCTGCGTATTCTACGACCCAGATATATAACTTCTTAAAGAGTGTTTAATTAAACACTGTGATATTACACAAATTTTGCTTTTCCCTGACTATCATTTTTCTTTCCTGCGACAACAAATCATTTTTTCATTGCGTAAAACGATTAGGTAAAAATCGTAAACTGAGAACTGATATCGTGAGGAAGATAGGTACATATCGAGCACACTTATAAAGTTCCCATTGATAATGGTTATGAACATTTCTCATAGGTTGTTATGGTACACTCATTAGTCACAGTAATCAAACAGTCTGATTGAATATTTTATAGTCCTTCGGGTACTGAATTGTAAAAGAATATAAAGCTTCTAGTGCTGCAATGTGATAAACGCATATAAAATAGTATATTTGACGAATATTGTACGTATTTTACTTCTTAAAATCATGTCGTATAATCTTACGTCTAATAATCCTCTGTTATTTGCTAAGTTCCTTAGGAATGTCTTTTATCGCTGTAAAAAATATCCAGTAATTCATACATATAATCCATAATAAATGATTTGTATAGATAACGATACTATCAAGTTATTTCGATGTTTAGAACTATACTTTTTATATAGATGGTAATATCTTGTAACGGTTATGTCATACGAGTTATGTCAAATTGACTATAAAATTTATATAAAAATTTACCTGCCTTTTGACACGCTGAAGGACAAAAGAAACGTAGAATAAACGTTGTCAATAACTGTGGAAGCTGTAAAATTGCAATAGTTGTTTGTTTTACTTGTCAAATTCACTCAAATTGAAAACGGTACATGTGCACGTGACGCTACCTCGAAGTGTAATTCTGCGCCAGTCGCGTGAAATGCGCAAACTCGGATTGATTTTCTCCGGTCAGCTGGTACTGTTCATCTTCGCACGATGTGGTTAAGCTTCCGCACGATTTTCGACGGCTGAATTTCGCTAGTCATATGGACGAAATGGGTCAAGAATCTTCGATAAAACAAGATAGAAGTCGGTGTGAGAAAAGTTGAATGTGAATGGTTATCAAAAATCGTCTGCCTCTGACAGTAAGTGTTAAATAATGCGCCAAACAAGAGAACTAATCTATGTGAGTGTGGTGGACTCGTAACACGATGTGTTTAGTTGAACCACCCAAAGGTGGCGGTAGCTGTTCCTCTGGCATTTCGGTAATGGTTATCGTCGATGTTGGTCGATAAAGAAATCGTTAACATTACATTTTATGATTCCTCTTTGTAGCAGAGAAAAAACATGACTTCCTCACCTTCGTCCAGCACCAGTTCCGCGTATGCTAGTACTGACGATGTTCGTCAATACTACAGTAACGATAAACGAAATTTCTTCAATTCGGATAACGTCGGAACAGCTCGGCTATTACGCTCGTATTCACCTCATCGCAAAGCGAGAGGATTCTTCGCGAGACTGCAAATCGACAAGTGAGTTACGCATTGCGCAGGTTCGCCGCGAATTTGAATAAAGTTATGCATCGAAATTTAATAAAGGACGAATATTTTCTTTCAATTCACACAAACTTTTTAAAAAGTATCATAGATGAACTAGATACCGAATAGCTTATGTAGATATACATAAAAAGTATAGATTTCTTTTTAACATCTTAAGTTATAAATTTAAAAATTATTTAAGATGAATGTAAACTTGTAGACAGATTTCTGTATTAGCAACAGAGTGCACTTACCAAACGCAGCTGCACATAACCTTCGCAATGTATCCGTTTTCACTTTGACGCTGTTCCAATCATAGATGTCTTTAATCAAGATCAATTCAATATTGTCATGCTAAAAAGAAAAATCTGTTATATATTATTGCAAAAATTATAATACACTGTACATAATTCATCGAGAAAATTGCTCACAGTACAGTATTTTTTGCGGGATACAATCCACCTGTTGACAGCTTCGCACAACCACTGACTATGATGCACTGTACTCTCACTATTCCCCGAGCATCTGAAATAAGAAAATTTGAATTAGTAATCATAATGTCTATCGTAATAATTTTTATATTAATGATGTTCAAACTAATTAAGGCTTACAAATCTAAAGTATTTTTTTACTTTTTTTATAAAATTATTAACAGCTATGATGGAAGGAAAAAGATTAGTTGCTTAATTGATGATTAATTATTAATAAAACAAGTGAAGTTAAATATTGACAACGTTAATCAAATTTTTCATACGAATTTACATACATTAAGTGGTAAGCATAAAATAAGAAATTACAATAATGTTTCATGCCAAAAATCGCTCAGATAATATTTAAAATCTGTTTAAAATAAATATAAACCATAGAAACAATCTTTAGTAATTATTTATTTTTTTTAATTCGCATCTAATTTATGCGTGACTAATTGTTTCTCATTTTCAGGTCTTACATTAATACAAAAAGTATTATAATAGCCGGTGTAGTATTAACCACAGTAATCCTTTCGATAATAGCGATATGTAATGTTTATGGAGCCAGTAGAAATGTAGAATTTCAAGAAAACGACGAAATACCGCCCGATCCGGAAACACCATTACCTTCATCACCGAGTAAATTAAAAAAATTTAAACGTGGTGCCGTTTGTGCAGATGGTGCACCATGTGCTGTTGTTGGAAAGTATGTAAAATTATATATTAAATCAAGTTAAAATATATAATAGAATTATTAATTAAGTTTGTAATCTTTTTGTAGGTCGATTTTAGAGAAGAATGGTTCAG